GGGGTGGGGTGGGGTGGGGTGGGGTGGGGTGGGGCATGTTAACGTTCGGTTGCACTTGCTGCATGAAGTTGATGCTACGTGTGGGAATGGGGTGGGGTGGGGTGCGGTGGGGCATGTTAACGTTCGGTTGCACTTGCTGCATGAAGTTGATGCTGTGTTCAGTTGCTGCGCCAAAGCTTGACCTATGCCACACCGGCTCAGTTCTTGCGCCTCTTGGAGGAGCTCTTGTGAAGACTGAAAAAGTCGCAACTTTTTCCGACGGCCCAATTAGTTACGTAGTTTCATTTTCGAAATGCCTCAGCGAAACTCTCATTTCAAGCAAATCTGCTTGGAATTGACCATGATTCCACTGATGAAACGTTGGGCACATCATTTCTAATGGAATTACGCACATTTCGACATGATTAACCCACGACCATCATTGATTTACACCACGGCCGTCTATCCGCCGTGTACCTAGTTTTCCAAGAGAAAGGGTCACTGGGTAGTTCAAAAAGTGGGAAAGGGATCCCTGTGTTTGGTGGTGAGATTGGGAACACCGATGTAAGGCCTATTTGAAGTGGTGGCCTCTGACTCCAATGATCCATGTAATGTAGACTCTTGTTTGTTTCGTGTCAAGAAAAGGCGCTTGTAAAACCTCTGAAAAAAAACTCTGCAAAAAAGGCATCCTGGCTGCTTTCTCGGCAGGAAATAGGGCCGGGCGGCGGTTTTTTCCAAGGCAAGGAAGGGGAGCTTAACAGCAATGCTAAAGCACTCAACCATCCTCCTCTCCCTTAAGCCACAAAAATAAGGATGTAGATACTGCATTTGGGTGGTTCCTCCTTTTGGGCATTGCTATTCTTAAAGCCAGTCCAATCACAGGATCACAGGACTGATGACATGGTGAACAAAAAACCTGAAGAAAAAAAGAAAGTCTCCCCAGAGAAAGATCAACATCTTCAAGCTAGAATCACCCCATGTAGGTGTTGAAGGCAAGTACCAGCGGTCCAAAAGAAAGCGTAGTCTTGGCTTCCGCACCTCCTCTGCCTGGCAGACTCTGAGAGGTGCCACAAACATCCACGGTTTGCGTGTTTGGTCGTCCGGTTGAGAAGCGTCAACCATTGGGTCAACCATTCGGCTTTCAACGGTCGCGTCCTCCGCGTCGCGCGTGGTCCCCTTCGGTGCCCATCGGGTCGCGTCGGTACCTTCGACCAGCGGATGTTCCCCACAAAGACCTTGAGATTCTCCTGTTGAGCGGGATTGGCTATGAAGAATGAGGCCAGCGAGGTCAAGGCAGGCATGCTCCTTGGGTGGGGTAGAAAAGCAAAGATCCCTTTTGGCATCTCAATCGCTGGAGGTGGATCCACCCTCAAAGCTTCCAGGAACTGCTCCAGGAGCGGTGGAAAACGACCAGCTCGGATTCGTCATGTAGCATCTTCCAGCGTCATCTGCCCCCGGGATGGGGCAAAAAGTCCAGGGAAGAAAGTGCTGGTGCAAACGAGCAAAGTCTGTGAAACTGGTGCACTGGCCAGCGGACCAGGGCAAGGACCAGGGGACCAAAGGAGGACCAATGGAGGACCAAAGGACCAGGGGACCAAAGGACTAGGACTACGGGACCAAACGGAAGGACCAGTGGGACGTATTCAGCATTATTTTTGTTCATCCTGTTAATCCTGTTCTTATTGTTTCATTGATCATGTTCTTTTTCTTGTCTATCCTGTGCTTTTTCCTTTTGATCTAGATGCCGCCTGTAGGCCCTTGCAGGCCCTTGCAGGCCCTGTTTCCGTGCCAGGCTCTACAAAAAGGGCTTCATCCTACAGTTCACCTGACCAAACCAATGATAGCCTGAGAGGGAATGGACGTGAACAGATTTGGTTTAGGGGCGGGGCGCCTCAAGGTCTTCAAGCCTTGAAATTCCGAGAAACGATGTCTAATTCATGGACAGGATTCCTGAAAAGATGAACTAGTTCTTGGGTTTTCTGAAAACTTGCTCTGGGGATGTATTCTTCATAGCTCTGCGAAAACCACTTGTTATCAGAGGTCAACCGGTCAAGAATGCTCCGCAGAAGGATCGACCTGGGCCTCCTGGCGCCGACCTGGGTCTCCTCTGCTGACACCTAAGGCAGTGCGGTCGCCATGAGTGCGGCGCGCGCCACGCGCCACGTGCAGGCCAGGAGGGTCTTGTCCCACCGAGAGTCGGCGAAAAGACACGATGCGACATATATATATATTACAATATATATGTGAGACTGGTTAAGGTAAGCTGGCCGTGGTTACGTCGACCTGGTCGTGGTGAAATGCTAGTTTCTATATATATATATACAGTACATCAACCGGCACCCTTCTGTGGCGGAGCGTCCAGGACTGAAGGTGAACCCAACATGGAGCAAACACGAGAAACATGGGCGCTAGGCACTTGTTTTTAGTAGCTTCTTGTTACTACCAGTAAGGCACCTGTTACTACCAGTAAGGCACTTGTTACTTTAAAAGCAGCTCGCGACTGACTTGGCGATGTGATGTTTGAGGCCAGACAAAGCCCCCGATGACTCTGGGCGTCCAGTAGCACGGAGCGAGAGTCTTCAATGGCACGAGACATCTCAAGGCGAGATCCCTCAAAGGAGATGTCTTTCAAGGTGCAATAGTTTCACTATGCCACACATATTCCTCTCCGAGTTTCTAGAATGGAAGTGGAAATGGTCTTGCAAGGGGCCTAGGTTCCCCTTCCATTTCAGGTAGTGTAAAGAAAAACTTAGCTCCAACCAAGGCAAAATCACCATGTCAATTGTGGGGAGGGAGGGTCTGGCTTATTGCAGCTTCTAATTCACTGCGAGAGCAGTCCCACAACCTATTAAGCAGTTCGAGCAGTGTTCCGCAGTTGCCTAATTATGTCAAAATTGAATGAACAAAGAAAAAAGAAACTTGCTTCTCCAGTGCTTCTCTGGGTCGGCTGCATCTTCTTCTTGTTCCTCCTCTTCCTCCTCCGAATCTTCAGCCTCCACCACGCAGCGCCACGCACGTCCACCGCGCAGCAGTGCCATGGTTTCAATCGGCTTGTCAGGCGAAACAAAGGACATCGCTGTAAGTGAATGGCTGACAATCCCTGGTAAAGTTATATGTGTATGTAAACTTCAAGTTTTACTGTACCAAAGCAAACTCGGTGAAGATTATGAAACATTGACTATTCTTCTCATGTTCCTATTGTCAAGCAGGGTGTCGCAGGCTTGATCAATCACCCACCTGGCCCTACAACCGGAAAAAGCCGCGTGGGTTTAAAATACCGATGCGCCTTTCGAGCCTTGACTTTGGGCTTCATTTCGGCCTGGCACATCGAGGGCTTTGCTGGCTGGATGTGCACATCAGACGGTGAAGGTTCACGTCGGCACGTCGGCACGGTGTTTCCCCAGCGAGCTGTCCGCGTCTTGCCCTGCCAAGAGGCGCGTTTCAGACGTGCCATGTGTCCAAGAGTCCAACGATCCAATTTACATGTGAGAGAAAGGACGTTTTGTCGTGATAGACCATAGAATAGACCAGTCACCCATAGAAATCGATGGACATCCTTGCCACCCTTTGGGCCCCTGGGGTTGAACGTCTTCAGAGCCCAGCGCTCCTTGCTCAGCGCTTTCTTCTTCAGCTTCTTCCTCACCTCGGATTTCGGTCTTCGGATTGTGCAGAACTGTTGGCCCCGCTTGGGCTTGGGATGGCTTTTTGTTTACTGATTTCTCCTATTGGCGAAACTGATGCTGCTTTGGTAGTGCTGCTTTGTTTAATAATATTGTATCTTATATATAACTATATAATATGTGTATATATATATATCAAATACTCCTCCATCTCTACCTCCGTAGAGAGAATGGACCCATCTGCCACATCCATCTGCAGACGGGGGACCATCGTGGCTTGCACGGCAAGCCAAAAAGCACGCTCAAGTGAAGGGTTGAAAAGGTGCTGAAGTCCACTTCTTGCTGTAAAATGCTCTTTTGCCGGAATGTCCCCTTTGCAAAGGTGGGCAGGCACAAAAGGCTCTTAAAGTGCCCTGCTGTGCCAGCATTTTGAAGACTGGTCATTCTTTCTTGGTCGTCGCTGCTTACTGTAAGTCAACAGAAGATGTCTTGTCTCGGAGAGGTTGCAGTCATTGGCTGATCTAGACATTCTATCTCGCTTCATCGTGTGCTTCGATTGGACCCGCGACGGTTTCGATGCAAACACCACACCGTCCCGTCTGCTTTTTCCTCGGTTTCGTCGGTCGTCGGACGGTTTCTTTGTTTCGAGTCTCAGCTGTGCATGGGGTGCCTGTTTTGCCGTCAGTGAAAGCTTCGAGCAGCTTCGGGTGGGGGAGCCACAAATCACTCTTTGAGGTTTGTCATATTCTGTATCAAGGTCTGTCCTGAGAGTCCTTAAGCCAACGGCCATCCGAGCTGCGTGGTTCTTGAGAAGCGGAAGCAAGGAAACGTAATGCGAATATATTAAATATTATATATATATATATTGTATTACTGTATATATTCCGCTCCCAATGCTTTGATTCACCGTGCATCACAACATCTCACAACTGCATGTAAAAGACGGCTGACTGCCTTCAGCAAACTGAAAACTATATATATATGTATTATGTCCGCCAGTTGAATCATGTTGACATTCTGAGACCATCAGATTCGCACACTCCCACAATGAGTAACCCATGATGTACATTACCGAAGTTCAATCTGTGTTTGAAGGGTGTCGGCACCGAAACACGAGACATCTTAAGGGGCACCCGGGTACCCCGAAACGCCAATCACTGCTGGTGGCTGTGTCTACGATCAAAAGGCCAGTTTTGATGTGTGGTGTTCTCAAAAAGATCTCCATCGGACTCTATCGCCCGTTGCTTCAAAGACACCCACATAGGCTCTAAGAATACAGGAACCTCAAGGATTCTTGTAGCTACATTGTAGCTTCCCTCCATCCATCTCCTAAACAAGGATATATATACATACATATATATTTGGATGATCCTGGTCATCCCTCGAAGTGGCTTTCGGAGACAAGAACCTCTTTTGCGCCGCCCAAGCATTGCTGTGGAGGAGGCTCTCACTATGCTGTTTGGCAGCCCTGGCCTGACAGCCCACTTTCTTGCAATGTTGTTCTGGCTGCTGTACCCAACCATTTGAGGGAATCACTCATATCATATCAAACCAAAGGAAACAGGTTCAAATACAGGTTTCTGAATCATTGGCAAGTGCGTGACACTGCCAAGTGATGATGATGATGATGATGATGATGATGATGATGATGTCATTTGAGAGTCTTTCTACTCGTTCCGTCCTCTCAATCAGGGCAGGATTGATTTCATACGCAAGCAAACGTGAGCCTCCCAAAAACAGGTATTTTCCACCAAATGCCAAGCATTGAAAGAAATAACATAAAGTGAAGAAATAAAAACTCCTTGTTGACAGACTGCCATCGTCCACAAAGGTTCATACCTTTACGAGCTGATTTCATCGCCTCGGCCAGGTCCGGGACCTTCTCCCAGGGCCATGCCTAGTGCTGGGCTGGGAAGCAGTTTTGGCCCTGGTAAGCGTAGGATAGGCGAAAACGATGTGAAAACCATGTCTGATGAGTAGGGTGTGCTTCGTGATAAACTGTTCTTTGCCTGAAGATGGTCCACCGTCCAGTAGAATAGAAAAGGCTCTTTACGGCTCTTTCCCAAGAATTTGTCTCAGGTGTAATTCAAACATGACACATGGCTGTCTTAGAAGCCCTTCCAAGTCATCGGCTGGCACGAACACAAACATCCCCTGAGACTGCTCAAAACATTGATTTGTTGCGTCAGAAACCCTTGATGAGTGTCCCCTTTCAGAACTCTCTTTGTGCAAACAACCTGTGAATTCCATTGAATTCCCATGGCAAACCCGAAAAAAACGAGCAGAAAACTCCTGAGACCGGCTCCGATCTGAAAAACTCATCGGGTGTTGTGGGGTGTTACCGCTGTGGGGTGTTCAGTGACCTGGTCCACTGGGAGTGCACCACAAAGGGAGAAGGAAACGTCTCCATACATGTCCACCTTACACTCCCTGAAACAATCATGGAACTGGAACAGTTCGGCCCGACCAATTGTCCTCTACGGACAGGGGGGTTCTGCTCAGCTTCCATGATTAGTTTGAGGGAGGGTAAGTGGAGGTTTTGGCTTACTACGAAGTGTTTTTGTCCACTTACCTTTGCTTGAGTCGAGATATGGTGTTTCAAGGCACAATCGCAGGGCCTCAGTCGGGTGCTTTTTGATCTTTTTGCCCAATGAGAACAATGCATGCTTTTGTAAGCACCTTCGGTGCGCATCGCTTTGAATCAGCTGAGTGTGCGAGTCCACAATGCATCGGTGTCTTCCTTTAAGACCTCTATGAATTCAGCGGGGTTTTTCCCCCCAAAGACAGTTTAATGCATGGGTACATTCCAAACATGTCCAAACTAGATCTTCAGTCGCTAGTTCACCCGCAACACATTGGTTGCAGTGGCAAGCCTTCACTGCACCCGTCACCGTCGCCCTGATCGAACCAACTCGAAGTCTCCCAGATCTCTCCGTTGCCAGGTCTCAGTGGGCTCCTCGGAACGGTTGTCACGCGAGGGCGCCACCAAACTGTACACACCACCTGCTGCACTGGTGAAGAGCCATGCCACATCTGACGCCACTTTCCCTGTGCTGGCTGAGACGCCCTCGATCACCCCAGCCGCCGACGCCGCGCCGCCCGCCAGCTGGTTCACCCAGGGCGGCAAGGGCGCCACACCCAGGCGGCGACAGAGCTCATCGGAGAAGTGGTGACAATTCCGTGTGAGTACGTCGTAGGTCCGACCCTTCCACTCCGCGGTCATGTCTTTGAGCACTTCCGCCACCTGGCCCTGGGACAAGTTGGTGCAGCCCATGGACAAGGTCTCACGGAAGGTATGATCCGGATGATGGCCAGGCACGTTCGCAGCCACGCCTGTGGACCAGCTGTCCAGGGTCATTCCAAAGGACCACTCCATGCCATAGACCTCCACTCCTGAATGAAAGGCTCCATAGTCCCTCGCCAGCATGTTGGGCCAGCGGGTTAAGAAGGTCTTTCCCAAATCATAGACACGCACAAAGACTCGTTCTGCCTGAGGACGTCCTGGTAGGGTGGCGACCTTCAAAGAACGTGCCAGTGTAGGACTGGCTTCGTACTGGGGCGGACTGGGCGTTGGGATGGATGGATTGCAGCTTCTCACAGGCCGACCCGGCCGTCGCTTATTCCCCAGCTGTGCGATCGAAGCTTCTTCCTCATCTTGCGCCTCGACCAACCATCGGAACCAGCTCATGAGAATGGCCACTGAAAGCGCGAAAAAACCGAACGCCGGGCTCTGCTTAATAGCAAGGCTTTGGGTGGCAAGAGGTTACTATGCTGGGTTGGAAGCTGGTCGAGCTCTGTTCTGCTTCTTGCAGTTGAGTAAATTGTTTATGTTGTATATATAAGTCACGAAACCAGTTCCCAGCACTTGGTGAAGATGCACAACTAGCCCTTTTTGCACAAAATTGCATGTGAGGGTCTGAGCAGCTCGCACACTCATTTACACAAAAAGGTGACTCCTCTGTCAATACAACTATGACCTGCAAAAGGAAGATTCATTGAACTGGAGAGGTCTCCAAATGGATCGAAGCCAGCTTGACATTGCCAGATGCATGACGGGATTCGAAGTTCCATCTGTAATTTTGGTCTTTGCACGACAGTTGAAACATGAACACATTGCCATGAACCAAATCTTCGACTGGACTGCGCCTCGCGCTGCTCTTTGGCATTGCAAGGCGAGCTTTCCGTTGGGCCTGCAGGGCGTTGCTCACATCACCCTCTAGAGGAGTGGGATTGGGAGAGAACATGTAAACACGTGGTTTTCACATATCATTCAAGCATGACTTTATGTTTCATTGTCGTATCATTTGCATCACTAGGTCCATGAAAGGCAAACAAACGACTCCTCTCAACAGTCTATGTTTTAATATATATATATATGTATGGTTTATTTATTGCATCATTTGCATCAGCTGGTTGCAATTGAACGTTTATTGTGCAAAATGCCCGCAAATTAGAATGATTTCGACCTCCTGAAAAATGTACCAGTTCTCTTTATATGTATATAGAATGATTATAGCCACTTCTCCATATATTGTTCATCCACTTCATGCTGCGTCCATATCTAGATTTTGTGTCGAGCATGCACATTGTATCGTTTATTGTATATAGTCACTCTATCTTTCGACCCCCTTAAATTTGTACACTTTTCAGGCTGCCCAAATTACATTAATTTGCAAGCATTATCGGGTATAATCTGGACTGGACAGCCTGAAAAATGTACAATTTCAAGGATGTTGGAAAAATGTGTGTGTGAATTACACGCTGTGTAACATGCGGTTGAGATGAACCCCTTGCACCATCCGGAGAGGGTGGGCTCAAATGAGTGAAAACGGGCGACCCGGGCGTGGCAGCTTCGGCTGCCCTTCAATTCGATCGTGTGCCGTTCGAACCTTTGCTTTGGTTTACTTCGTGTTCTCCTGCAGCTTGGTTTGGCACCCCTGTCAGCGGACTTCGTTTGCCACTGGCATTTCTACATTGGTAGCGGAGCCCGAACCCGGTCTGGGTGAGGGCTCCCGCGCACTCTGCTACAACGACCTTGAGCTGACCGCTGGGACCAAGGTCTTCGTCACCTTCCCTTTGTGGGTTCCTTCCCGATCCTGTTTGCTGAGTTCTTTGTGGAACACCCTACGGGGAGGATCTTGGCATCCGCCACTTCGGCGCATGTCACAGAAGAAGGGACAACAGCGAGGAAGAGGACAAGCCGCACAACCCGGCTCCAGTTTGATGACATCCAAAGAGGAGAACAGCTATGCCGACTTACGGGACTCCTTCGTTCCACTGTTCTCGGGACAACCAGCTGACTACAAAGAATGGCGACAGCGCATCCAGCTCTACCATCGGAAGATGAGCATTTCCAAGAGAGCTCAAGAGAGCGTGCTGGACATCGTCGGCAGCTTCCGTGGTGCTGTCTGGCGCCTCTTTGAGGATTGGAGTGTGGAGCAACTCGAGAAGGAGGACGCTTTTGAGAAGATGCTGGTGATCCTCGATGGCAACTATGCCTACGATCAGCGTGTACAGCTGCCAACTGATTTTGAAGGCTACTTCAATTTGTTGCAGCGCCAACCTGGACAAACCCTGCTGATGTATGTGGGCGACTATGAGGAGTCATACCGCAAGCTCCTACAGCACAAGATCTCTCTTCCTGATCCCGTTAAGGATGGCACTTGCTTCGTCGTGCATCGCTCACCAAGGAGCAAAGACAACTCGTCATGCTGAAGGCTCCCTCCTTGGAGAAACAGGCCGTCATTGAAGCGCTCTACTTGATCCTTGGCCCAGATTATCAATCTGGTGGTTGGAACCATGACAGGAACAAGCGCTTCGGCAAATGGTCTGGTCGAGCCTATGCTGCACATGATGAGTGGGATTGGGAGGAGGAACCATGGCCAGAAGACACCGGCTACTATGAAGATGATTGGCCAGTTGAAGACTATGAAGAGGAGCCAGCCTTCGATGATGATGCTGGCTACTATGGTGAGGGTCCCTGGATGGCTGAAGACTCCAACGAAACAAGCCCTGAGCACCTGGCTGATGAGTTTGACACAGCCTTCGCAAGCTATACGGATGCTCGTAAGCGGTTCAACGACCTCAAAATGTCCAGAGGATTCCTTCTGGTGGTGGCCTTGGCCGATCAACAACACAGCCGACGACAGCTGCACCCGCCTCATCATCTTCGAGCTCAACTACCTGGCGAAAAGGGAAAGGGAAAGGAGGCAAGAACAAAGGAAAAGGGAGCAATACCATCCGGTATCCTCCTCAGGGCGCTGGAAAGTCAGATCCCAAAGGACGTGCCAAAGCAGCGATGACATGTCTACGCTGCGGTCAACAGGGACATTGGGCTGCAAACTGTCCTCAATCGGCCTCACCAAAGTCAAGTGGCCACAAACGACCAGCTCCAACTGAAAGCATGGCTCAGGCCCTCGACGACGAGGCATCCGAGCTCACGATGTTGACCTTCCAAGACAGCTCCGGCAATGAGCGACCGGATTGCGTCATGTTGGACCCTGGCGCCAGCGCCTTTCTCTCGGGCTACCAGCCTTTTGGCTTCCCCGTGGAGAAGATCTGCATGACTCAAGGTCGACGCCGGTTCCAATTTGGCGGCGACGCTGCATCGTGGTCCAGCTGGTCGGCACACCTGCCAGTGTTTGTGGATGGGCGCTATGGCACCATTCAGCTCTTCCTGTTGCCCGGCAATACTCCCATGCTTTGTGGCAGACCAATCATTGAGTCGCTTGGCATGACAATGGACTTCGCCATGAAGCGCATCCGCATTGGGAGCTCTGGCTGGACCGAAGCCACGATTGGCCGACAAGGGGAATATCCGTTGTCTCTCACCTCAGATCACGACTTCATTCACTACGACCCGGAGAGACCAGAGTTCACCTTGAGGACGGCTGAACCTGATATGGATCAGACTGACGGCTTCCACCTTGCCGACTTTGAACACTCCGAGCATGGCTTCGTGAGCCTTGACCACGTCAACGATGAGCCCAACGAAGGCATGCGACAGCTCAAGCGTCATGAACTCAAGACCATGGACGTGCAGCTGACCACCTATCTTCAAGAGATGTCTGCCTATGTGACCAATCAGCTTCATCAACCAAGCAAAACAGCAAGTCCTATGGGAAGTGTACTGTGGGACGGCTCGCACTGCTGAAGTGGCCGAATCACTGGGCATGACTGTTCGCAAGTTTGGTCCGGAGACAGGCTGGAACTTCGAACTTCTTCACCATCAACAAGCTTTCCTCGGCCTGCAGGACCAGGAAATGCCCGATGAAGTGCTTTTGGCACCTGAATGCAAGCTCTGGAGCCGCATGCAGACTTTAGCAAGACGCACCACAGCTCAACAACAGGCTCTCATGGCCGCCAGACAACATCATCATGATCGGCATCTTAAGTTCAGCCGCAAGGTCTACCTGAAGCAAGTTGATGGCGGACGCCATGCCCATTTGGAGCAACCAAAAGAAGCCCTGTCATGGAAGACTCAGGCGCTTCGTTCTCTGCCCGGTCGACGTGCCGACTTCGATCAATGTCGCTATGGGGCTACTGGATGATGATGGTCATTGGCGACCAGTCCGAAAGCGCACCTCACTGCAGGCGGCAGTACAAGATGCGATGACATTGCAATGTCAAGGAGATCATCAACACTGTGCCCTAGAAGGCTCTGCTCCTCGCTTCGGCGCTCGTACTCGCTACATGGAGGAGTACCAACCTGCGATGGCTAGCACACTGGCTGCTGCTTTGAGCTTGGATGAACCACCCCAAGTCTGGGAACATGTCTTCGCCACCGAGGAGCAGAAAGAAGTCACATCCAAGCTGGTTCAGTTGCGAGCAACTACCAAGCAGGACGCCATCCGTGTGGTTCAACGACTCCATCGCAATCTTGGTCACCCGGCACCTTCCGAGCTGACTGACCTTCTGGAAGCACGAGGAGCAAGTGAATCCATCTTGCAAGCCGCTCGTACCTATGTATGCACAGCCTGTGCCAAGTACAAGAAACCCGGCGGTACTGCACCTGCAGCGATGCCTTCCTCCACTTCGTTCAACCAGATCCTCCAGGCAGATGTTTTCTGGATTCGGCAAGATGGCATCAAACATCCAGTCATGACCATGATCGACCTGGCCACTCGCTATGTCTCTGCCTACCTGCTCAAGACCGAACAGACCGCCGACTATGTCAAGGCACATGGAGCGGTCATGGATTGCACACTTTGGTGCACCACAGCAGTTAATTTCCGATGAAGGCCGCCCTTGGCTCAGTCAGCACTTTGATGAATGGACGTCATCCCACGGTATTGAGCATGTAGTGGCTCCTGGTGAAGCACATGAACGTTTGGCAGTGGTTGAACGCCGACATGCAGCGCTGCGGAAAGCTGTTGAGGTCTATTGCGACAACCTGAAGGTGAAGGGCAAGTCCGGCATCCGAGAGGCACTCGTCCACTGCGTCCCACAGATGAATGCTGCACCTACGGTAGCTGGTTTCTCTCCATCGCAGTGGGTGCTCGGCTATCAGCCACAGCTTGGTGGCAGTCTTTTGTCCACGAGCTTCAAGCCTTCGCACTATGGTGGCCACGAAACCTTTGAGACGATGCTCAACCGGAGGTCTGCTGCCCATGCAGAAAGCGCTTGTTGAGGCTGATGCTGATCGTCGCCTTCGTCGGGCACTTGGAGCAAAGTACAAGGGTCTCAATG